TGTTAAAAGAATCAATGAAGAATTAACTTTCCGGGTTTGGTTCCCTGTTTAGGCACTAGAACTCTTTTGTGAATTAGAGTTTGACTTTCAATAATAACAGGAGTCAGTAAAAGTTCTGAATATGTTCTTGTAAGCAGGCGGATGGCACAGCGGTTAAGGCTGCTGACTGTGCTACGGCAGGTTGTGGGTTCACACCAGTTTGCTGAGCTAATTACTCCAAACAAATGACAAGCAAGATGGGTGTTCATGGTTGGGGTACCTCTGCCAGTTACAGCATGAAGTATGGCTGGTTGAGGCTTGCGGACACCAGGGATTGTGGTCTCCATAGATGGAGAAGATTCAAGAAAGCAGCTTGCTGCCCTTTTTTTTTTTTAACATCTTGTGTTAAACAAAACCCAAAGTCTCTCACTCCCAAGTCTACCCCAGTTACCCCCGTCCTTTCCAGGGTGTCAGCACACCTCAGCCAGCCATACCCCAACTGTGAACGCCCATGGTGCATGTTACTTGTTTGGAGTAATTAGCTCAGCAAACTGGCTTGAGCCCACAACCTGCCATACCACAGTCAGCAGCCTTAACCACTGTGCCATCCACCTGCTTAGAAGAGTATATTCAGAACTTTTACTGACTCCTGTTATTATTGATAGTCAAAATCAAACTCACAAAAGAGTTCTAGTGCCTAGACAGGGAACTGAACCCACGTCCTGCCATCAGCGGCATCAACCACTGTGCTATTCCTACAGGTACAGGGAGGTGGTCAGAACTTTTACTGGCTTCTGCTGTTGGTCATCATCACAAAGCAGAAAACACCAGAGGTCTGTGCTGCTTTTGGATGTTGTAATGTATTCTTGATTTTCCGACAGTCTAGACAAGCCTGACATTGACGATCATGACTAGGACTAAGAACCTCCGTGGCAGGTTAGGCTCAGTGGAGTGCCTTCTGAAACCAGCAAGCTGGGCAATACACTTGTAGAGCAGGAGGCAACAAGGAGAAAGGCGTGATAAACAGATAGACATACTGTAGGTATCGCAGTGGCAGGCCGTGCATTTGGTACCTGGGCCTTCAGTGGGGACTTACCCGACTTAATTCACCTCTTAATACCACCACTATCATGTCACAATTATAGAAACCATCAATACTATACAAAAACGCAATATAATTAGCGTGGCATTACAGAGAAAGGGGTATTTCGCCATTTTTACTAAAGCAAGAAACCCAATTAAGACTCCAAACCTCTACACTACAACCACAACTGCGCCAGGTTCATCATCCGGAGCAGTTCAGAATCAATATTTATCCAATAACATGACAAAAACATACAAAATTTAAATTAAATACATCATACTCACCAGAGATGCTATTTATTTATAGACAAACTCCATCCTCATGGAGGTGATCTCTGCGTTTCAGTTCCATCATAAGTCCTTTTCTAGTTTTGCTCTGACCAACCAATTAGAGGACGGAAAAATGCTGACGTTATTGTAGGCCAGCTAGCTGGCCCTGTGAGGTGAATTAGAAATCTGATTGGTTAAAGAAACAGTCCCATTGCTAATATAGTTTAAGTTATATGAGCCAGCACTTCTGATTCTGAAGGCCCTGGGCAGATTAAATTGACATGGCAACATATAGAGGCTGAAATCTGATTGGACAAAAACTCTAACATCCACATACACGTACTGGAAGTGGTGCAGCCAAGAGCAATGCTACGAAATGAAGAGAATAGACTGTTGGGAATAAATTAATACAGTTTCATGGAACAAATATTAGAATTTAGGTTGTAAATGTAGGTCACTGCTTCTAATAGTGTTTAGGCCAGCAGAGAAGGCCTTGCTGGCCCTGACTGCCCACCACTGAGGTATCGGAAAGTTAATTCTTCATTGATTCTTTTACACGTCCATAGTTACATTCGCATACAATCACATACATGCACACATGCTCCATGGGTCCTTCGGTAAGGCCCTTAATGCTATTTTTAGATTCAACCGGTTCTTTTATCTGAAGGCCCCAAGAAGTAACACTCAGGAGACAGGAATCAGCTTTACGTAGATTTATTTTCTTCTGGTTAAATGCAGAGTTATTACAGCGCTGGGCTCTATGAGATGACAAGTCTCCAAGAGCTCTGATAATAGGAAGTAATTCACATATATCTTCTCGGGCTGGGACTGCCCTGAACATGGGTGAAACTCATATTATCTTTTAATCTGCGGACTCAAGGTTCTGTTGTACCCGGTACTTTTTACCATACTGACTCTGAGAGACGAGACAGTCCAAGTAACTACAAAACAGTGCTGATTTATTCCATGAACACAGGTAAAAATTAACATTACACGCTCAGGCATCTTGCACCTCCAAACTGCACGCAGGCAGATGAAAGATGAAAGACCCTGAACCCAACAGGCCTATACATTATATCCCCTCGGTTGGGCTAGCCCCATACTACACAGGGACGTCAAACCGTGACGTCTCTCTCACCAGCTTTGCAGCGGGCCATAGCAGTAGTCAAAACATGAAGTAAATCAATGTGTGTGTGTCTGTTGATTAAGTGGTGTGTAGCTAAAAACATTCTCACGACCTCTAGTAACATGTCGTGACATTAAACATAAGAACATATTATGGCTAAGGCTACAGTTCTACACGTCATAATAATAATATTAAACACCCTGTCCGCTGATAGTCATCAACTCTTCTCTCTAGTTATCCTTGACCAGATGTACCCTGTAGAAACTCATAAGCATGCCTAAGCATTTAACAGTCTAACTAGACATCCTATCTCCACTAAACATTTCTAATACATAAAGTATCTATCCAATATCTATCTGACTAAAAATACCTAACAGTTCATACAAGGTTCATGCAAATATTCTAGAATGTTCGAATAAGCAGTGTGTGTGTTGTTATTTTCAGGCGTTTCTCTCTAACTGAAAGTAGACATGCAGTTAGCATCTTATTTATAGTTTCCAGGATGACACTTATCTCTGCAATCAATTTATGCACATTTCACCAAGAAGACAAGAAATACTACTAGTTGACTCAAAGCTGAATATTATGACTATGATGCATGCATAAGAGCTGGTTAATACTGATACATGGAGCTGTTAATGAAACAGACAAATAGTCATACTGAACTTTTCCATTATAAAAGCAAAATAATACTGATAAGTAGAAAAATAACTTTAACTCCTGAAATCCAATCCTAACACTATCTGCCTAGTGAGGTACATCATGAGAAACACGGCACCAGGGTCAGGGCGAGATAGCATCCTCCCTACAAGCGGAGATTGAAGACGGAGAAGATTGAAGAAGAAGGAGAAGATTCACTTTTCTGACAGGTAATATAAGACACTGACTAGGGCTAAGATAAAGACAGATAACATGGTTTCATGATGTGTCCTCCTGAATCGAGCAAGCTGGAAACGCGGTGGAAGAGAGAAAGGCCTGATGAAGAAAGGAGAGAGTTACCTGTGGTAGAGGTAAGGAAGGAGGTTAGAGAGGACAGAGAAGATACGAAATCCGGTAGGAGGTAAGGAGGTTAAGAGCCGGCAGGAGGCTTCAACCACCTCATTGATTACCTCTATGTGAAGATATTCCATAAAATTAAGGGACACTGGCAAGTTACAAATAGCCCACACTTTAGCCTGGAGGAGATATTCTGTCCCGAGTTTTACATGGGCACCTATGGGAGAGTCTCTGGAATGTGCCACTTTATAAGGATAATAAACAGATAATCACCTTTATTGGCCAAGTATGTTACACACACACAAGGAATTTATTTCCGGTACAGAACCGAGGCAGCCATCTGCGACGCCAACTCAATGATGGCTCGAACCATCGGGGGCAACGGCGGGGTTCGGTATCTTCCCTTCTTCTTGTCTTCGACATGTGGACTGTAGGCACCGAGATTTGAACCTTCAACCTTATGGAAGACCCAAGAGGTCTAACAGGTCCTATAGACAAAGAGCAAGGCAAAACCATCGTTGAGTTGGCGCCACACATGGCTGCCTCAGTTCTGTACCGGAAACAAATTCCTTCCGATCTGACCCTGGCTTGTCCCTGCACAGGGAGCCTCTATAATCCATCTTTGAAATGAGCTATACTGGTTTGAAAAACGCATCTTATAACTTCGGATCAGTGGGGGCATGGAACAAGTGCTGTGCGATTTTAACAACATAAACACAAGGCCTGAAGGTAGCAGAGTGGGGTGGGGTGGGGTTAGTACAGTTGGAAGACACTTCCAGACAAGTTTTACTTAATCTAGCTTTAACTTAAATATAATCAAGAATTTATACCTTTATTGTTTGTGTGACACTATGCTTTGTTGTGTTACTACCAGGTTATACAGAACATTATCACACTCCTGAAGATTTGGATTTAGTGAAAATGCTTGAAATTCCTTTGAACTTCCCTCGAATTAACCACAGCAAGTTGATGCCATGGGTATACAAGAACTGCCCATAACTAAGAGAACGCCTTGTGTCTGTGAATTAATGCTCCACAGATGTCTCCAAACTTGGCGCCTGTATGTGGCACACTCAGCTCTACTTCCCGGCACTGGAGTATTTAGTACATTGGTCTGAAAACCTGTGCCAGCCAGACTTCATCATTTTCTCACATTAACCTGGCCACTGCTGACAGAGAGGTATGCAGGAGGATCACCTGACCAACATTGTGCAGAATTAGCACATTCCTCTGGGTTTGAGGGTTATGTGTGCACATCTTACATGGGGAGTTGCAGAGCAGCAAAGGATTGCTTGCATACCACATAACCAGAATTTACGAGCTCATTACAAGGTTGCGTTATGAGAGACAGCCAGAGCATGGACTGCACTGGATCTTTGGCGACAGACAGGCAGAAGGAGACGGGTGTTCCTGGTAAATACCCAAACCACTCCAGACCTGTGTTTGGAAGGTATTCAAGGCACGTGAAGAAGAGGCTACCTATGTCTACCCATGCTGTTTTAGTAACAGAGTGGCTGAATTCCAATCATGGCCCTGGAAAACAACGTTTTCAACAAGATGGGGTTTATTGACAAGTAGCTGTAGAACATGACAGTGTGAGCAGTAACAGCTTAATATACCAGTATATTTGATATATTGGAAAACTGCAGACTTGTACATAAAAGACTGCTGAAGAGAATTTGATTATTCACATTACCCAAGCTGGGTTAAGACAAAGATACAAAATTAAGACCATTAATAGATTTCTTGGTACAAACTGTGCAAATCAAAGGCTTCTACAAAATGCATTACAAAGCAAAAATACAAACTATACACACACAAAAGACTTCATTAAAGATGCTCAAATATGAAATGAAAAAATAATCTTATAGCTAAAAAGTTAACTACTTAGAACACACTTATGGTTATTCTGGATTTAAATAACAAAACCTAAGGTTAGCTATTCAGGTTTTCAACAGTGATCATTGCGATTAGCTGTATATTTTCACTTGGCCAAACAAAGTAAGAATGTATTCTAAAATGAGTTAACATTCACAATAAAAGGTTTTCAAGACAGAAGATATATAAAAAAATAGTCTAACCTTCTTTGAACAAATACAGCAAACCTATACATAACCCTGAGACATAAAACAGGAAAAAAAAAGACAAATCATAGTTTGAAATAACATCTTGAAACACAAAAACTACTTCAGTTGTGATGGGCCACATTCTCTTTTACGACCTTGTATTTTAAGTCAAGGAGGAAGATGCAAATTTAGTTTACCAAAATTGAGGGAAGCCCAAATCCAAAGTCTAAAAATACAGACAGGACTGTTTCTGTGCACAAAATCATACACTTCCCTAAATGTCTTCTCTCCTTCCCTTTATGCCTGGCAGAGCAAAGGTCTAATTAGCCTATCAGCAGTCCAAATAAGTTACACCTGAGTAGACGCCCAGTGTCAAGTTGGGGGAGACACCACAGGAAAGGACGGCTGATTTTTTTTTAAAGTTCACTGTAAAACAACGTATTAGCTAATCAAGTTATCTACCAGTGAGAGGATACATGTATTTGATGGAGTGAATCAAGTGAGCTTAGTCACACCGGGAAGTGGAAAAAGAAAAAGAACGAAGATTCAAAGCAGATGCCCAGAGGACACATCTATGCTATCAGTCAGTTTCCTGGCTGCTGTTAGCATATTCTACAGAAACGGCCGTCAAGTATACATGGTAATGAGTCCAGCTTAGATTAGTGGCTACAAAGTTACACAACATAAACAAGTAAACAGATGAGGTGGAATGAAGCTGCAGGCTTCCAGTCTTCACTCCTCCGCAGATGATGAAGACCTGAAATTGGGCTGGATGGAGCCACAGCAGAACACACAAAACCTTCCTCCTCCTCTCTGCAGCATACCAGACACCACAGCTGATCTGGGGAAAGAGACAGAGGGAGATTAATGTTTTGGTCATGTGAACTCAGAGGAGCTTCTGATCTATGAGGGCCGATCACATGACCAGATGGGTGGCCTGGACATTCTCAGGGAGCAGAGAGGAATGCAGAGTCTGTGGTCCTCAGGGCTACACATCAGCTTATCACCATGCCATTCCATCAGGCTTACCCACACAGCATTAATAATGCCTCAGGACATGCGTTATTTAACCAAAGTCCTCCTGGCATGTGGTATTAAGCTGCTCATGACATTTATGTCGCTAGGTAATAAACAGCCAAGGGGGACAGCCCAGTAGACCCTGCTCTGTAAACACATTTCTTTTGACTATGTTACATTGCTTAGTCAAAATTCAAGTTTCAATTCTTAAATTCCTGCATGTGTTAAGCACCTTTTTTTTTTAAACTGCAAACAGACAAATTCTTTGGACTCTCATCTTTGGGTTTTACTGCAACCAATTTTCCTCTGCTGTTATGAAGAAATGTTACACTGAATATGTTTAATAACATCTCAGTTTACATCTAATTTGCATATTTGAGGATAACTCAGCTCTGCCAGAACAGATGAAGGATCTGTGTGCGCTCTCTGCTCCGGGAGGAGGAGCCGACAGTTACAGACAGGATCTGCTGGGGGCCTGTTTGGATAACCAAATGATGGCCAACAAAGCCTGCCGATACTACAGAAGTCTCCACTGATTCGTGTGTGTCCGTTATGGTTGCAAAAGCATTGCCTGCAGCAAAACACTAGGACACAGCCTGAGCACTGTACTACTGGAACAACAACAGGAGATACAGACAAGCTGAACCGGATTTCTAACTGCATTTCCGTAAACGCTATTCATCTTCTTTCGGCTGCTACCTATTCTCTGGGGGTTGCCATAGCGGATCACTGCGATCCGCATATTTGATTTCTGCACAGATTTCACGCTGGACACCCTTCCTCACACAACCCTATTTTATTTTACTAATCAGGCCTGACCCTGCTTAGCTTCCAAGGTCGGATGGAAAAAAAACAAAAAAGAAGAAGCAAAAGCGGGCAATGTTAAACAGCGAATAAAGATGAGCAGCCATAAAAGTACTTTTAACCCTAAAAAAGTAGGCTACTGTCTAAAATCTGTAAAATTAAGAGTTAAATCAGAAACTACTTGACAACCAGTACATAAGATTAGAACATCTCAGACATTTTGTCAGTTTTCATTACTTGGGAACAACAAAAACAAAAAACTAAAAAGTGATACCCAGCCCTTAAAACAAAACCCAGATCCCCCTTTCTAATGAAAGCCCATGTAAAGAAGCCACAGCAGCAATTATCACATGCAACTGCAGTGGTGGGAAGTAACACAGTACCTAATACTTTGTTACTGTAGATTTTTCAGGTATCTGTACTAGTCTTGAGCATTTGTTTTTGACATCTTCCTTTTATTGCCTATATTTTTAGCTCAAATATCTGTACTCTCTACTCATCATGCTTGTTACTTTTAGTTTTCACATTTGAGGGGAATTATTATTATTTTTACTTAGCGCTTGCTGAAGCACATGCACATCGCTGCACTGGGTGACATGTTTCTTCTTTACAACCTCTGCTGTGTTTACAGTCCGCTAGCTCGTCGCACTTTCACAGAGACCATGTGCGGTTGAGTCTTGGTTTACTTAAGATGCTGTAAAGTTTATGGTCATTTGACGCTTTTGGGGCAACATTTTTGACAAATACACAGCTCTTTTGTTTTGTAAGAAAGAAGCATGTCACCCAGTGCAGTGGTGTGTTTCCCAGATGTTTTTAAACTGTTTGGTACTACTGAGTAGAGGCAGTTCATTCTTGGTTTTAGTCTCTTTATAGTCTGTTGAAAAATCCCCATACAATGGCTGGGCTTTTTCCATGAAGGCTTTTCTTGTTAGATAATGTTAATTATTTGTGGTATTTTTTTTTATTTTAAGTTAGAATGGTTTAATAATCTTGTTAATATATTAATATGTGAGGTTCAGTTAGATTTGCACAGAAACAGATGGTAGCTTCAAAGGGCTACTTTTTACTCTGAGTACATTTCAGAGCCTGTACTTTTTTACTTTTACTTGAGTAAAGAATTCAAATCAGTTTTACTACACTTTCTTTTTACCATGTGTATCTGTCCTCTTACTTGAGTAAAACGAATGTGTGTACTTTTGCCATCTCTGACTGCATTTCCATTGTTGCCCTCTCTGTGTGTACATGTGCAAAGGTCACTACCTGCACTTCTTGTGCACTGCTGCTGGTCTAGATGAGGAGGCGCATGCCTCTCCAGCTTAAAATCCATCCATCCCTGTCTTGCATTGTCAAATTCCCTCAGGTGCAACAAGGATCCTGCCGCCATGAGCTCCAGGCTGTCGCCGAGCCCTGTCATTATTACCCGCCATGTTAAAGTCAGTTATATACACACAACACTAAGCTATATCGGCCACACTGCTCTCCTCTGGCCCATACGTAAAGTTACGATCGTTTGTACAGATAAACTCATAATGACCTGCACTAAAACATTATATTCTCACTGTAACAAAAGAACCAAATTGACCTTCACAGACATTACTTTCTTCTGCCAATGGGGATTGTCTTACTTTGAGCGCAGAAGGGGGAGATGCCAACAGGCGGTGGGGTTAATCAGAAATTACCCAAATGTCCCCTGTGTCCTTGGTCTGGTCCTCTTCACTATGCTGCTGCGAGGGAAGGAGGGGGCCCGTGTCCTTCAGCAGACTAAACAGATGGGCTAGGACAGTATGAAGTGACTGGATCTGGCACTCGAGGTTTAACCTGGCTCAGCCTGTCTGCTCCCATCACTTATCTTTCTCTGCTGCATGAGAATCATGCCAGACTTATCTTAACAAAAGAAAACAACGACCAAAAATCAAGCTTTTCTGTGATTTAAAATGACAGTCTCCCTAGTTGAAAGAGCACAGTAGATGCAGCAGAGGACTAGATCACATTTATCGAATGACACGGGCATCATGACACCACCTGTGTTTTTTCAGACTCCATCTACATCTTCTAGAAGCCCAATTACCCATGATGCAATAAACCAAGGCTGAGTCCTCTTTCTTTACCTGTCCCTTGTGCCCAACAAGGCCTGTTCCTGTTTACTAATGACTACCTAGAATGCCACTGTATTGACAATCGTGTGAATCACTTCACTTACATGACTGCAGTGTTTTCAGGGACAAATCAAGACTAGGATGAGCTCAGAGGCACAAGAATCCTGGTACAGCTGCAAAGTACAATGAGCCACGTCTCGAGTCTTTACAGAAACTCTGGTTTAAGACTGGAACAAAGAGTGTTTCTGAGTGCACGCCGCTTCAGTAGCCTACTACTTCAGAGGTGCAAATATTACTGTATGTAATTCAGATTAATTATCAAACACACACACACACACACTGTCCCCACCCACCTGGCTTCCTTAGGGGGCTCCTGTAACTGTATGACAGCCTTTCTCCCTTATAGGGTGTAGCCAAATGAGTCTGGGTGATTATTCAGCCATTTTAAGCACCTTTTGCCCTTTCCCTTTTTGTTACTCTGCGCACAGAGAAAAGACCAATAAAAACTTCATTAGGTTTATGCAAATTTAAGCAGCCATGCCGAGGGCCCTTTCTCCCTTATAGGGTGTAGCCAAATGAGTCTGGGTGATTATTCAGCCATTTTAAGCACCTTTTGCCCTTTCCCTTTTTGTTACTCTGCGCACAGAGAAAAGACCAATAAAAACTTCATTAGGTTTATGCAAATTTAAGCAGCCTTGCCGAGGGCTGTAATAAGGAGGACTGATTACTCAAAGGACCGGAGACCAAGTGTGTGTGTGTGTGTGCACGTGCTTACTTTAACCGTGTATGTGTATGTCTGGGAGGGGGGGGGATCGTCGCTGTACACAGATGCCTCAATAAAAGCCTCATTCAGCTTGCGTTCCTGGTGGCCCTCACAGTGAGACATTAATAAAACATTAGTATTGAGTGACTGGGGCCTCTGCACTCCTCCTCCCTGATCCCACTGTGACCTTTCCATTTTACAGCAGCTGTCTAGAGATGCCGAGAGCCCGCTGAGGACTCCACATGTGGGCCCCTGACCTCTCCAGGTGTACCCCATCACACAGAGCCAAGCCCATCTCATAAGGGCTTTGATTGAAGCCGTTAAAAAGGAGAATGCTGTTTGGGTGTGTGATTTTCTGCAGCAGAGCGGTGATGAGGAGGGGGACGCTGGAGAGGGGACAGGGTTTGATCAATAAAGGATGAATCATTTCTGGGGCTGATATAGTTGAGTGGTTTATGTTGAACTTTGTGCAGGGGTCTCCAGTTATATCCTGTCTGCCTGTAGTCTGGGCCCAACAAATGACCAGATTACATCCTGATGCCACTTGATGTACAACCTCTAAAACATACTGAACAAACCGTTTCAGCCTCAGCTGGCAACCTTACAGACTGCACAGGAAAACGTAAATCAAGTTAATAGTTTCTTCTTAACGTTTTTGCCTATTTGACAATGTTATTTACCTCTGTCTAGACCATAACAAATACACCCCATTAGGCTTTAACATTTACAAATGATTTTCCATTAACAGCGGGTTTTGGCTTGGCTCTGGAGTCTGTAGTTAGTCACATCTGGTGGAAGTGCACATGGCTACAAATTGCAGTAAGTGGCGACAAAAAGAGCAAAAAGGCTGGCCATGCAAAATGCCTAGACAACTGAAAAGCCCGAATCACAAGGCAACATCAACAGATCTTTACTAATGGGAATGCAGGCCACACCTTCATTCCTCCCAAATTAGAGTAAGGATGGCTGGCTTTTTAAAGGACTGGAATTGGCAGCAATAGGGCTGCCTGTCCACGTGTGTGTGTGTGTGTGTGTGTGTGTGTGTGTGTGAGAGAGAGAGAGAGAGCGAGCGAAAGCAGTATGCGTGGAAAATGAGTGGTTTCACAACTGTGTAAAACTCACAATACAACTAGTGAATCCTTTAACAGCTGAGCAGTGGCTTTCGACCCCATTGTAGACACACGAAAGGAACACGCGCACACACACACAAATATTTTTCTCTCTGACCCCAGCTGAAAGATGACAGCCTCACGGGCAAAATATTTTTAGCCAGGCATTAGTCTCAACTGCCCGACGACAGAATATAGCTGCTGCTGCTGCTCCTGGTCTTACTCACTTTATCTCCTCCTCTGTGCATGTGTGAGTATTTGTGTGTAAAAGCCACTTCGCTGTTCTCTGAATTCTTGCCACTTAACTCCAAGCTGGAAATCTTTTCCATGTCTACTGTAATTAAGTATTAAGCCAGGGGGATGGTATCTACAGTAACTGCATAACTAAGCTCATAAGGATGCGGTGCCTTGTTCTACACAGCCAGTCCGTCTGTCTCCATCCGGGCCCAAAGCTCCTTGACTACCATGGAGACAGCGGTCCATAGCAGCCTCACAATACTGTGCCTCTGGCTCCATTATATCTAGCTGTTTGCCATAGACACACGTTGCAGCCCTCTGCTTCTCACTTGCTTCTGATTAGCTACTTTGACCTTTCTTGGTAGCATAAAAATGAGGAGTCCTGATGCATGACAGACATATCACAGGGACTAACCAACATTTTCTAAAAATTATATTTAATGATCCGTTACTCTTTAGAACTCCCTTGAAACAAGATGACACATCTCAAGGGCTTCATCCTCTAATTAAATCTGAAGTAAATACCAAATTGTTGAGTGTTATCCACTTAGACACAGGACATTATTTTTGTTCTTGGCAACAAATAAAAAGACTTCACTTGAAATTTAACTCTTAAGTTGTCACACTATGATCATGACTCCCCCACTAGCCAGACATTTTATATTAGCATATATGAGTAGAGTTCACATTTGTGAGTTCATGTTCACTTCTGGCTAAAGTTATTGAAAATAATCAATCATTCTGGAAAACAGCAGTAGCTGGTTCCCATACAATTAAAAGCAATTTTTATAGTTAGTTGGCTTATTTGCTTTTTTGGCAAGAGTTACATGACATGACTGCAAGGTTACTACAGCATCCATGTGGTTAAAGCTACTGTTGGCAGGCACGTAGCTTCTTCCAGCCAGAAGAACTGTTCCCTGTCTCCAGTCTTTGTGCTAAGCAAAGCTAACAGGCTGCTAACAGTAGCCTTATACTGAACAGACAAATGAGGGTGCCATCAATCTTCTCATCTAGCTCTGGGCAATAAAGCCATTAAGTGCAACTTAACTTTGAACTTTAAGTTTAAATGGGGCCATTTGTTTTCCTTGATGACCATAGCTTTATGGCAGAAGAACAGACGTACTCCAAGTTCAATGAATCTCTGTGTGCCTTGTTTGGACTTTAAAACTGTATTACTTTCAATAAAGATAAAAACCACAAAACCAATAAAAGATACAGTAGAGTTTGAGCTTTAAAATGGAAATCCAACAGCTACTGCAGCAGCACACCGTTTTCCATCAACTGCATCGGAGCTAAAATGAGATCAGAGGACAGGCCTAATGTCATGAAACTTAAAACCAGCCGTACCACCGCTGAGCACACGTAAAAGCAACCTGCAGACCTTAAACAACAAAATTACTTTCCCCCCCCCACAGTAGTGCCTCCATCTCTCCTATCTCCTGTCTCACCTTGCATGAAAAACTGAAAACACCTCAGGAAAAATGTAGCTCATCTTGCATGAAGCTGTGAAAACTGCCACCTGTCGCTCCTTCAGGCAGAATCAGCCAAGCATTTCTTTTGCTAATATATTTCATTCAATCATATTCTCATAACCTTGAGATGGACCCTCCATCCTGATAAGATCACTGATCTGACTACACTTTTACCGAGCACCTGCCACCACATACAGTACCGAAGTACGTTTGTTTTCTTTTTATCCTGCAAAGCACTTTGTAAACCACATTTAAGTAGTGCTATATGAATAAAGTATTTTAATTAAAACTAAATAAGGGCTTGTATCAATACGTCTAGACTGGAATTTGTAGGAAAAAACTTGGTCTCTGTAACAAGAAAAAGTTTGCATTGAGGATGTGTGTGATGACCTTACCATCATCAAAGCATCCAAAAACTGTTAGAGGTATGTTTAAGCTCCCCTGTAAAACTCACCAAGACCTCCATATGTTTAAACACCTTGTGTTACAGCACCCTTTCTCAACTGAAAGCAGTCAGTTAGCACCCAGAGCCAGCCCCGCAGAGCACCCTAACCACTTGCCTTCTTTGGGCTACAAGCACAGACCTGATCCTTGCCTCTTCTCGTCACTCCTGTCACTGACAGAGGTCTTATGTTATAGCTCTCGGTCTGTAATTACCAGTCCCGCTGACATTCTTCCTGCTCGCTAAACCAGGACTCCACCATGTTTATTCAACACCCAGCCGTCACAGCAGCTAATGTGCAACTGTAACCACTAGCAACCCTGAAAACAGTGAGGATTTTAAACTGGCCTCAGCTGGTTCAAACTCACATTCACCCAAGTCTGTTAAATAAGTGAGAACAAAGTTAAACCGAACTAGTACTCAGATTGTTTACTTAAGTAAAAGCAGCAATACCACAGTGTACAAATACTCTGTTACAAGTCCTGCATTGAAAATGTTATTATAATTGTTAATGCATTATTGTGTACAGCACATTTAATGCTGCAGCTGGTAAAGGTGGAATTAACTTTAACTACCTTATATACTCATAATCCTAAGTACTGCTGGGAGCCTGTGGATCAATAAGTCTGAAGTAGTTATCAAATAAATGTAGTAGAGTAAAAAGTACAATATATTTTTCTAAAATGTAGAAAACTTTAAGTATGATGTAGCAGAAAATGAAAATACTCAAGTACAGATACCTCAAAATTGTACTTGAATACATGTACTTAGTTACTTTCCACCTCTACTTGTTTCTATAGCGTGTTCCTGTGTACTATCTGACAAGAGGGACACTATGAACAGCACATTTAGCTGATGTCTTGTTTGTTCGTGTCAGTTTAAGGAAGCCACAGTTACTCACCGTAGAAGCCTCAGTCAGTGCGTCGCTATGCTGTGAGGTACTTCCATGTGCTGACGAAGGCAGTGGGAATAAGTGAATAGGGCACACTGGTCACACTGTCCCAGGAGTCCGATGACGGATCGTAACAGTCTAGTGTCTTACACCTCTGAGCTCCAAAGTACCCCCCGACCACATACAGTCTGTTTCCTGATGCCACTGCATGACAGCTGATCCGTCTGGCTGTCACGTCACCAAACTTTGACCACTGGTATGTCTCACTGTTGAACTGGTAAGCAGAGCTAGCTGAGAATTCAGTATCACCGCCAATCACAACAACATGGTTGCCAACTACAGCTGCAGCCGTGTATCTCCAGAGCTGTGGACAAGCAGCCGGGACTGACCACCGGTTCTGGCAAGGGTCAAAGCACTGCACCTTGGGGTACTTGTCTCTGTTTACACTGGTGCCCCCAAAGGCAAAGAGTTTGTTTTTGGCACCTACGACAGCAGCGTTGCTCACCCCTTCTCTGAGCGGAGCTACCAGAGTCCATTTGTTGGTCTGCGGGTCGTACTGTTCTACCTGTTTGAGAGACACAGATGGAGAGGCAGGGAAGGATCCTGTTAGAGAAGTGTGTCCTCCCACAACATACAGGATGTGGTCGAGCTCCGCAGAACCATGTCCAAATCTGGCGACCAACATGGGGGCTGCTTTGGACCATTCGTCATGTAACGTGTCATAGACCCAGACGTCTTTGGAGGCCCCATTCTCAGAGCTACGCCCTCCTGTAACGTAAACCTGAAACACAGGGAGAGACGCCACATTATGAGTACATCTATATAATGCTAAATGATGATGCACATATTCAAGTATAGCTCATACACATACCTTGCAACCAATAGCGCAGGCACTGCATTCTTTCCTGGGGCTGGGGATGTCCGTTTTTGGGGTGATCTCCTTGGTCTTGTTGTCGATCACGTAGACTTTATCACACATGAAAGTCTGACCTCCCAGCAGCAGCAAGGCCTGGCTGACCTTTCTTGGCCGGGCACAGAACCCCGTTACGATACCGTCGTTCTGAAGGATCCTCATCTTACACCGTACAGCGTCTTCAACAATCTCCCGACCCACCTTGTGGCACATCACCAGCTCCTCTGAAGCGACATTCTTCAGTAGATACGTCTCAGGGAGCAGAGCCAGGCGGACACAGCGCAGCAGCTCGGGCAGCTCACTATGCCTCTGCTCCATGTCCGCCTTAACCCAGTCAATAACAGCCTCATACACAAGACTCTCATCTTCCACCTCCAGTTCCTCACTGAGGATCAGCTCCTGGACTTTGTCTCTGGGCAGGCTGAGGAAGTCCTCTGTCCTGAAGAGAGTAGCAAAGTTTGCCAAGCACATCCTCCATGACAGCTCATACAGTCTCTGACACTGGTGGGCATCTGACAGCAGCATCATCCCCAGGCAGTTTGAGTGGTGGAGGTTCTTTTCTAGAAACTCTGCTGCTGCGTCCCTGATGTCGTGAAACTGAAGCATGTCTCCGGCTTCTAGGAGCGACTCTGCATTTTCCTCGTTGATGATGACTCGGGCCGAGTAGGCGTAGTCAAGCAAGAGCTCCAGCACCTCCGGATGGAGAGAGTCGTGGAAGTTGACTTCAGCGTCACGACTCTCCCGAAGCCCACCGCTGAACATGGCCTCAAAGTATCGACTACAGGAGGCCAGGACGGCCCGGTGACAGGGGAAGGATTGGTTCCCAGCCTTCAGAACAACATCTGTGAAGACTTTTCGTTTGCGCAGCAGGTTGAGTTGAGTCAATAAGCTGTCAGCGTGGGACGTCTTGTGGAAGAGCTGGATATTCATGGAGCCAGAACTAGAGCGAGATTTTCTATTTTCGTGGTTACTGACAGACATCTTGACTTAAATCTGAAGGAGGAAATAAAGAAGAAAAATATAAGTACAAATAAAAAGAGCCACTCTGTAACATTTGTGTAACACTACGGTTTATGATATTTGCACAGGTGGAAGGGATTTTATCAGTGCCATGCACACTCCCTTTGATGTAAACAGTAAAATGTGCTCTCACTTTATGATTAACCCAAACTCGCTATATCAAATGATGAATGGTCTGTTCAGAAATAAAATACTTATATCAGTGTGCTGCCTTACAATGGACATGAACTTTAGACTACAGAGATGAAAGGAGATCAGATAAGGAGCCCTCCCACATAAAACCATTGTGTGTACACTGTGACACACAAATTTACACTATGAAACATACATCAGTGTCAAGACTCAGTTTTCAAACCTGGAGCTACATTAACTTGCTCCTAATACACTCCTCTGTGATTAATGTTAAGTAGAGAGACAGAACCTACAGTATATCACATCTTTCCACCCCTGTAAACATTTCAGGGCTTTTGAGTCTCCTCCAAGCACAGCCAGAGCCAAAACACTCCAGCCAGCCTGTTCTGTTCCTGGGGTTGGCTCACACACAAGATGGTGGTGCCAAAGGCAAAAGCCTTCAATCCCACACAAAACGCTACACCTCTGACCAGCTCTTTAAGTTAAAAATTATGTAACCACTGTGCAAATGAAAAAAGACCCAATGGGTTTACACAGGCTTGCTTGTTCAAACGGTCTTTGTATTGAGAAGGAAGATATTGTGTGGGGGGACGTCTTTATTCAGAATTTAAGATGACATTAACGTACATTCTGTAACCAAATTCTAGTAAATATAATTCCGCATCAAACATTTTTCACCTATTTTATGAAACTAAGCCGTCTATAATAATGGCGAGGCACCGTCGGATAATGAAGACTGTACACAAACGACCAAATAAATATCTTCCGCTTTAAAACCTCCTTTGTTTCACAGCAAATAAATCTAAGTCGGCTTTTCGACCTCAGTCAAAGGGGGCGGTGGACTTCCGTGGAGGGATTCGGCGTGAAATCCAATTCGTTTTGTGCAGTAAATGCGAAACCCGGTCAACACTCAAGCATGCGCTCAACTTTCCTCCCAAGTTAGCAGCAGTAGCCTGCAAGCAAACATCCAGCCTGCTACAGACGAACGACATCCAGTATCAGATGTTGCAGTCTGGGACTAAACTCCTCACGTTTCGGAAGTTGGACAAATGCCAAACCAGCACGTATGGTCGCGATCGATACTTTAGGAGGATTAGGCGTCTAACGCTTACCTTTGTAGGAGCAGAGCCGATCCTTTATCTCGGTTACTTGTTCCGTCGTTGGTTTGTTTAAAGTTGTGGATCAATTTAGACCAGTCCGCTTTGCGAGTTTAAAACTGTTTCGTGTCCTGAATTGTGAAGGAATGTTCGAGCCATCTGTCTGCGTCGTGAGCGTCGAGTTTAAACGCACAGAAACACAAGTAAAAACTTAAGTTAGTCGCTCGGCGTGTTCTCCGGAAGCCAGGCAGCCTGCAGGAAAGCAGCGAGCTGAGGGAAGGGAGGAGGAGGCGGCGGTAGTGTTCACTGTGGCTCCGCCCACTCCCACTGCTATTGTCCAATGGGCTCCAACGTCGCTGACCTTTATCCTTCATCTGTCTGCAGGCCCTGCACATTTCAATGCCACAGAACATTTAGAAACACCTCTCCCCACAGAAAAAACTCTCAAACTTGTCACCAGTATCAAGGCCAATGCAAGTTTATCCTATTTGTATAGCAGTCCTGGTTTTCAGCAGCAAAGCAAGAACGTAGCATAAGACAAAGACGTATATTTGTTGTGTATAGGCAGACTAATGTAGTGTATGTTTACTGTATATACCGTGGCCTGCATTTACTGTGTGGGCTACATATCTGTGTAGTTGGTATTTTATTTTGTCCGTTGTTCTTTGTGATCTAAAAATTTTTGGTTAACACTTGAAATTTTTAGTGCCTTATGTCTCCCCTTTGTAAAGCAACTTGTAATTGCAAGTTTTGATAAGTTCTATTAAGGGAAACCTTTATTAGGCTATTAGAATCTTTTTATCATTAGGCTGTTATTATTGCAAGGCAAGAGAAAACACACATAAAGAGAAAACAAAGCAGAAGACAAAAACAGGCTAAAACCAAGTAAAAAGAAGGAGAAGAAATTACGGTGCCTTTATAGATATGAATGAAAATGCCATTATTTAATTTCATAAAAAGCTGTGGCAAAAAGTTTAAATTTTTCCCTTGATTTAAAAGAACTTAAATTTGTAGCAGAGCACAGGTTTTTTTTAAAAAGTTTTTTCCAATTACAGTTTGCAAAGAAACTGCTGCTTCTTCTTGTTATCAAAAATAGTTGCATAGTGTACAAAGCGTACCTCCGCCTTTCTATAAATGATTTTATGTATCAAATTGCCAAGCAATATGGTGATGCAATACAATGTTAGAAAGTTTGCAAAATAAAAAGGTGAGAGCTGCATCAGCTGTGTTTAATGTAGACCTTGATGACTCTGACTCCGGTAAAGGGGACTCGACTTGGACTCGAATCAAACTCAACTTGGACTTGACTCTGACTGTTCTTTGGTGACTCGGGCTTGACTCAGACTCCAGACTCAGCTTGGACTTGAGGTTTAGTGACTCAAATACAACACTGGTGTAAAAAGGTAAAAGTGGTCATTATATTCTAAAAGTTGTCTATCATTTAAATAAATACAGTACAGATGTTCAGATCTTTTTTTATGCAAGAAATATAATTCTGTGTTGAAACATGTCCCAACAATTCTTCAGTTGTAATTAAATGCATTTATAATGGCTTAATTCCATTTAAGAGTGCTAATACAAAGTATAATGCTTAAATGAAACAGAGATAGTTTTAATTTAATTTGTTGCATCTGAGCTTATCATACTTTACAGAGTCAAAATTGTCTAGTGTGAAATTGCTCAGTGAACACCAGCAAAGAAGAAAGAATAATAGCCAAAAATGAAAATAAACCAGCATATTGTCTTGAAATATTAAAAGACATAAAGACATTTTAAATCTTTGGGGTGTCTTTTTTTTTAGACAATAGAAGCTCTGGGCATGAGTGGGAGAGACTGGATGTGCACTGAGCTGACTGATCTCCAGCACCAGAGCCGATGCCACACTGCTCAGGTTTCCCCTCCCTCCCTCTGTCTCTCCCGCTCTCTCTTTGTCTCCATGTGCTGTCACTCAGCAGCTGCTTTTGAAGATTAAAAGCTGCTGGTGTGTCTCAACCATCTGAGTTTATGTGTATTTGTGCATTTGAGAAAAAAAACAGAGCCAACTTTCCTTTTGTCTACAAGTTCCTATTGTTTGTATACAAGGGATTTAAATTCCAAGTGCCACCGGTATCTCAAATTACCAAATGTTCATTTTTCAAATGAAAATTGAATTTAATAATAACTAATAACCTCAAAGTCTGACACCAATAAACACACTCACTGGTAATTCACATTTTCATTGTTGCTGAAGCCTCCTTTATAGCTTACTGAGCCAAATGCTTTCATGCACACAAGTGTGCCTAAAGAAGATTAAGAATTTAAGAAGATTATATTAATGAACTCATGATTGTAATCTAGGGTTAATTCATTTTGCTGCACTTTAACCCAACCCCCCACACACTGAGCCCTGTGGCTTGAAGCCAAACTGGTCTATGTGTAAGTCTGTGCATGCACACCCATGTGAGTATAACTGTGTGCGTGTGTGGCTGCAAGCATTTTGTAACTGGCCATCAATTACCCTTAGGCGGGCGCGCCACTAATCAGACCCCCCACAGTTAATCCTCAGTGCCCCAAGATTCCAACAAAACATTCAAAGAGTGTCGGTTAAGATGACAGTAACCATCATTCATTTGTAGCCTGCAGACTCACTGTACCCAAGTATTTGTTCACTCAAGGCAGGTGGTCTTGAGGTCATCCTGCGGGTCACTCTCAAGTCCAGGCCTCAACACCAAACAAATGCAGATGCAGATGCAGATTTCTGTAGATGGCCCCTATTTTCCACAGAGCATTAGTTTGAGGCAAATGCTTTATTTATTTACTAGGAAAGTCTACACCTTGAGCAATTTTACAGTAATAACCTTGGAAGGATTGACGGAAAAAGACATCATAAATATGAAATGGATGGATTTTTTATGATACAACTTAAAATAAATAAAAAAAACTCAAAATCTATTTCTAACAAAGTGTGCATTGAAATATTTAATGACATATAATATATTGCATCAATTGTTAGAAATTTGTTAGTAGTATACTAGAAAAATCTAATGAGATTTTCTCCAATAGATTGTACAGTGGAGTAAGTGAGTGGTGTATGTCGCCATCGCGTGGCAGACATAGGCTACTGCTGGGGTGTAGATATGGGTATGTGTCAAAAACTACATTTCCCAGAACGCGGAAAGCCCAGCCTCTACGGAAATGACGTGTCCAGACTTCCGCTGTTGTCAAGGGCATTGAAAACCAACGTTAGCTAAATTTAGCTGTAGCAGCTCACACGTGTATTTTAAAGAAGACCAATAAAGCCACGGGTGTAGGTAACGACTCCGGTAGAAAATGGACGGGTTTAGTTCGGACTTCTCAGCAGGAGGATCAGGCGGTAAAGTGGACACCGGCACCATCATGGAGCAGGTCAAGGTCCAGATCGCGGTGGCTAATGCTCAGGAGCTGTTACAGGTGAATGTCCCAGAGTTTCCACATCGTCACATAACGGCTGCTATAACTAAAAGGCAGCTGTAATAAGTAATAAAGTATAATAACGACAGCATTTCTATTCATGTTACAGAGAATGACAGACAAATGCTTCAAGAAGTGTATAGGTAAACCTGGAAGCACGTTGGACAACTCTGAGCAGGTATGTAGGTGAACAAGCTTGCAAGCAATTTTTTTTAATAAATGCCAAATAAATGCATTTTCAAGTAAAAGTGAACCGTTTCCTACCTCTCAAATACCAGGATCTGCTGCCTTTGTAGTTTTTTTTATTATGTTAGTCCTAGGCACAAAATGGCTAGTTGAATATCTTTGGGTTTTGGACTGAAAAAAACAAGACTAGGTTTTGAGAAATTGTAATGTTTTTTTGGAAAATATATTTTAAAGGCAGTTAAGAAAATATTTGTCATGGTAATTGATAATGATTGTAATAACTGATTGCAGCTCTCAACAAGAGTCCCATTCAGGATTTATTCTTATTAGGTTATTTAGGTTATTTATCATTAACCCCACTGCTTTTGTCCCCACAGAAATGTATTGCCATGTGTATGGACCGATATATGGATGCCTGGAACGCAGTATCCCGAACATACAATTCCAGATTACAGAAGGAAAGGGCTCGCATGTGAACATCTCGCTCTTCACCTTTCCCTTCCTCAGGCTGCTGCATACAGTCAGGAGGGGCACGGCACACAGGTGGAGGTCATGAGCTGTGCAGAGGTGTGCCACAGTGTCAGCACGTCATCTTCTGTCATAATACCTCACAGACAGGCATGCAGAGCCTGTGGACTCTACCTATAACAGTATGTCTGTTGACATTCTACTTTGCTCTAAGGAGTCCAGTAAAAATGTTTGTATTTTTTATGTTATAAATAATTTTCAGGTTAACAAATGAGCACGTATTGTTAAAAGCTTACAACATAGGTAGATAAGTTGAAAAATTGCCCTTGCACATGTCAGCCTTGTGTATTTCATAGGGTGTTATCCAGCTTTTGCATGCATGCTGGGATATGTTCTACCCCTCAGTGCTCTTGAATAAGATAAAGATTTTAGAAAATAAATGTACTGATGCAGTCATGAAGTAACATCCTCCAGCACCATGGCCCACGTAGTAATTATTTAACAGTGTGTTTACCGTAGTGTGGCTTCAGTCGAAACACTTCAATCTACCTGACATAAAACCGGTGAGAGAAAACTGGGGGACAACGCAGACATTTCTTAACATGCTTTTTACTCTTAAAGATCAACTTAAAATCAACAGGAAGAACTGAGGAGCATCTTGTCGGTTTCACAACTGTGGACCTGGCATTCACAAGCCTCCAAACAGTCCTATATCGAAGTACACCTGGAGAACAAAACTGTTTTGTTTGACCTGTTTTCTGGTTGTCACTATCTGCTGCCTTCCATACAGTAGTGAGTTTGTTAGCGCAGCAGCATTTCTTTGCTATAGATGGGTTACTGAACCTTATCTCGGCATTGTGTGCAC